TCTGAGTCCAGGCAGACACAGCACCATAGAGAGGAAAGGAGCCACATGTCTTGAGACCCAAGTGAGCCTGATACCACCACAGAAGCAGAGAAGACTCGGAGACACATACGATGCTCTGGGCAGTGCTGAGCGTCCCACTGCAGGTGGACTGAGGGCTCATGCATCTGCCATTGCAACATTTATGGATGCACCAACTCCACAGGGTGGAGAACCTGGAACCAACCAGAGGGTAGAGGTCTGAGTCACACAGGTGAGCCTCATGAACTTCATAGTCTGCAGGCTCTCTCCTAGGCTAAGCTGAACCGGGTCCAGCGGGGCCTCTGCCTGCAGTTCCTACCTCATGGAAAATAAGAGATACATCTTCAGGAAGTCATTTTTCTTTTTCCATGCTTTCTGGGATCTGCCATGTTAAAAGGATTAAGAGGTGGAGGGATGGGTGAAATAGATAAAGGGAATTAAGAGGTACTTCCAGTTATAAAATACATAAGTCAACAGAAATCAAAAGTACAGCATGGGGGATACGGTCAATAATACTGTTAACAACGTGTATGGTGACAGATGGTGACTGCACCTGTGGGAGTAATGCATAAGGTACAGAACTGCTGAATCACCCTGCTGTACACCTGAAACTAATGTAACATTGTATGTCAATTATACTTCAATAATAATTTCTTTTTACTTTTTTTTTTTTTTAAGTAGGGTCCAGGCCCAGCATGGAGCCCAAGGCAGGGCTTGAACTCACAACACTGACATTGAGACCTGAGCTGAGTCAGATGCTTAATGGACTAAGACACCCAGGCGCCCCCAACAGTAATAATTTTTTTAAAAGGATTAGGGAGAAAAAAGATAGCCACGGATAACAGGCAAAGAAGAGCCAACTAGTACTTAATCGGAATCCCTGAAGGGAACAAACACAATGAAATACAACAGCTATTAAAGATATAATTCAGGGGATGCCTGGCTGGCTCAGTTGGTTAAGTGTCTGCCTTCGGCTCAGGTCATGATCCCAGGGTCTTGGGATGAAGTCCCAGGTCGGGCTCCCTGCTCAGCACGGGAGTCTGCTTCTCCCTCTCCCTTGCCCTGCTTATGTTCTCTCTCTCTAATACATAAATAAAAGCTTTAAAATAAAATAAAATAGGGGCCCCACATTAGGCTCCCTGCTCAGTGGGAAGCCTGCTTCTCCCTCTCCCACTCCCCCTGCTTGTGTTCCCTCACTGTCTCTCTCTCTCTAATAAATAAATAAAATCTTTAAAAATATATATAATAAAATAAAATAAACATTTAAAAAAGTCAAGGCTGGCCCAGATGGGTTCAGTGGTAATTTTACCAAACATTTAAGGAAGAAAATATACCAATTCTCTAAAATCTCTTCCAGAAGACAGAAGCAGAGGAAATACTTCCTAACTCATTCTAGGAGAGGAGCATTATCCCAATACCAAAACCAGATGATATTATAAGAAAAGAAAATTACAGACCAATATTGCTCATGAACATAGATGTAAAAGTCCTCAACAAAATATTAGCAAATAGAATCCAACAATGTATAAAAAGAATTACATGCCATGACTGACCAAGTGGGGTTTATCCCAGGTATGCAAGGCTGGTTCAACATTTGAAAATTAGTTAATGTAATCCATCACATCAACAGACTAAAGAAGAAAAATCATATGATCATAAAATAGATGCAGAAAAGGCATCTGACAAAATCCAACACCCATTCATGATAAAAACTCTCAGTAAACTAGGAATAGAAGGGAATTTCCTCAACTTAATACAATATCTACAAAAATCTGCAGTCAACATAGTTGTTTTTTTTAAATATTTTTATTTATTTATTTGACAGAGAGAGACACAGCGAGAGAGGGAACACAAGCAGGGGGAGTGGGAGAGGGAGAAGCAGACTTCCCGCTGAGCAGGGAGCCCGACGCGGGGCTCGATCCCAGGACCCTGGGATCATGACCTGAGCCGAAGGCAGAAACTTAACGACTGAGCCACCCAGGCGCCCCTTGCAGTCAGCATAGTTAATGGCAAGAAACTAGAAGCTTCCCCACTAAAATCAGGAACAAGAAAAGGATGTTCCATCTCACCACTCCTTTTTAACACTGTCCTGGAAGTGCTACTTACTCAGTAAGACAAGAAAAGGAAATAAAAGCTATATACATTAGGAAGGAAAAATAAAACTCTTATCTGTTCGCAGATGACACAACTGCCCATGTAGAAAATATGAAAGATTCAGAAGAAAAAACTGTTGGAACGAATAAATGACCACAGCAAGGTTGTAGAATATAAAATTAATACTCAAAGGTCATTCACTTACCTCTTTACCAACAATGAACAAATGGAATTGAAATGAAAAATATACTGCTGTTTACACAGGTATCATTAATACCCCCAAAATGAAACTTAGGTATAAATCTAACAAAATAGGTATAAGAGCTATATGAGGAAAACCTCAAAACTCTGATGAAAGAAATCAAAGGAGAACAAAGTAAGTGGAGAGATATTATTCCCTGTTCATGGATCAGAAGACTCAATATTGTCAAAATGTCGGTTCTTCCCAACTTCACCTATCTGATCTACAGATTTAATGGGATCCCAATCAAATTCCCAACAAGTTATTCTGTGGATCTGACAAACTGATTCTAAAGTTTATATGTAGAGGCAAAAGACCCGGAACAGCCAACTCATTATTGAAGGAGAAGAACAAAGTTAGAGAACTGACACTACCTGCCTTTAAGACTTACTACTGTGTAAAGCTCCAGTAATCAAGACAGTGTGTTACGAGCCAAAGAATAGAGAAACAGATCAATGGAACAGAAGGGAGAGCCCAGAAATAAACCCCCATAAATACAGTCATCTGGTCTTTGACAAAGTAGCAAAAGCAATACAATGAAGCAAATATATAGTCTTTTCAACAAATGATGCTGGAATAACTGGACATCACATGCAAAAACATCAGTGTAGACACAGAACTTACACTTCTCACAAAAATTAACTCAAAATGTACTGTAGACCTAAATGTAAAACACAAAACAATGAAACTCCTAGGAGATAAACATAGGAGAAAAGCCTTTGGACATTTAAAGCACTTTGGATCAATTTAGTGATACTTAACCTGTGCCACTATGCAGGCGTAGTGTCCAGCTGTCTCCTGGACTCTAAGGAGCATCTCGCACCCTAATAGCACCTAGGCAGGTTTGATGAACCTGACGTAAGCATAAGAAGTTGTGGCAGAAACCTGGCTCAGAGGTGCTGGGGCAAAAGTGGGAATATATGGAAACAGCAATGGGCAAGCTCACAGGATTAAGGAAACCCACGTACTAACTGGGCATCTGGAACAGAAACCAGGAGCTCAACAGTCCCAGGGCAGGGACTCAGTCTCTGCACACCCATTTCCTCCACCTGGCGGGAACCAAGGATACCAAACCCACCTAACCCCAATTTCCCACAGCTTCCGGGGGAGCAGGGCCTCACCCTCTTCAAGTCTGGTTAGAAAAATAGGCAGAAAGGTTTCAGACCAGCCAAGCTTGCGCTCTTCAAACAAAGCCAGAGGGGCCTGTTCTTGTGAGAACACGGGCATTCCACCAGGACCACTAACCTGGAACGAAGGAAGGGGCAGCCCAAGAGAGCAGACTATGGAGCAGGGGTGTCCCACTAGGGATTTGAGGGACATTTCCAGAGGCATGACTTGCCACACTCAGAGTAAGGTCCCTCAAGGTCTTCAAAGTCAGAGGGTGATTTGTGGCACCTATGATGGAGAAGGTAGCCTTGTCCCAATGGTGATGGTAGAAAACACGACATGGCTGGTGGCATTCGCTGCAGACTCAGAAAAGCAAAACCCTGATCATAGGTGCTGTCTGTGTGGGTGTGGGTGGGTCCTTCCTGGGTGCCAAAGGGCAACTGATATTTGGCAAGCATGGTGAGGCCAAAACCTGAACCCTGACCACCTAGGAGGCTCATTTTACCTGTGCAAGAAAGCCACACCTCACAGGTAACATTCAGATCATGGAAACAGATGTAAACAAGAGGTTTTTTCCAGCAGAATCATTTTAAACCACCACTAGAGCTGCTGATTAAAGACTCTTAATAGGGGCGCCTGGGTGGCTCAGTTGGTTAAGCGACTGCCTTCGGCTCAGGTCATGATCCTGGAGTCCCAGGATCGAGTCCCACATCGGGTTCCCTGCTCGGCGGGAGGGTCTGCTTCTCCCTCTGACCCTCTTCCCTCTCGTGCTCTCTCTCTCTGATTCTCTCTCTCTCAAATAAATAAAATCTTTAAAAAAAAAAGACTCTTAATAGGAGTTTGGTGCCCTAGGCACATTCCTTTAGGCTTTACCATTGTGCAGCCAGGCCCAACTCCACACTGCCCTTTTCTGGGGGCAGAAAGAGCCGGGGAATTTGCCCTAGGACCAACTCACAACCACTGACTGAAGGGAATGGCAGACAAACATCCACAGCCCCTCACCGCTCCTGTAAGGTCATTCAGAGGTGACTGTTGTATTACAGGTCCCCAGAGGCACAAAGCACCCTACCCACACTTGATAATGTACTTGTATGGATTGCCTCCCCTTCCAGTGCTTCCTGGGATCACCTCCCATGTAAACTGCTTGTACCTAATCCTTATCTCAGACTCTGCTTCTCAGAAATCCAAACCAACCCACCACATTTTGGTAGAGAAAACAAGTGCTACCATCCAAAGGAGGCACATACGGAGACAGGGGTGATGTGGGGCACGAGAGGTGGAAACCTCCCAAGATGCTTCTTGGGGGCATATCTGACCATGAAGGCTCAGGTACCCAGGTCAGGGCCGTACAAAGAGGCAAATACTCATCAAAGCAAATATGCCTTAGCCAATCTTACAGAAACAGGAGCGTGAAATCATACAATCAGTGCTTTTAGTTCAAAACGAGAATGACAACTTCATCTTGGCCAGACCTCTTGCACCCACCTGATAGTACCTTCTCTCCCTGCAGACGAAGGAAACCTGTGATTATCTCAAGGCTGCCTGTGGGCAAGGGCTGCACCCAAAATGAGCTACAGAATCCCCCTGCTGAATGAATGACACATTTGGGAACTATGGTGGGGCTGGACACTGAACAGGCCCTCACTGACAAAATCCTTGTTGATAATGTTGCCTAAGTGGGTGCAAAGGCTGCAGCCAGCTCCCCGACCCTGGGAGTCTCAGATTCCCTTTGCACTGCGATGACTGTGGGCTTGGATGGAGAAAGTGGGCTGAGTTCCACTCCTCATGCTCCAACACTAGCAACTGCTAGACTGTTTTTGGGGCTGGCTGCCGGAGATGGGAGAAACTGGGGTCAAGGACAGGTGGGGCTGGCCCACTGCAGCAGTATGAATGAGTCACATGGCACCTCCAGGCACAAGATGTTCTGGGATTCCTCCCCACCACCCTTTGCCCAGCCCCCTTTTCTGCCAGCTTGTGGTGTCCACTTGTCCTGGGTGTGGTACCACACCTAGGCTGGGAGCAGGCTGGGAAGGAGGCTGATGCCAAGCTTCACCTCGCTGTGTGTGTGTCCATCCATCCCTGTCCTCCCTCCTTGCCCTCTCAGGAAGTCCCATCCCAGGGAGTGGTTAGCGGGGCCACACAGCACTGAATTCCTTCTCCAGACCCTGGACAAACTGGTCATTGAGGAAGAGCAGTTGACCATGGGGCAGGAAGCGGGCGAGGATGCCCTCGATGCGATCAGCCCGAAGCAGGAGGTTGGTGCTGGGGGTCAGCAGCCGGAGGTGGTCAAGGAGGAGGCGTGCCAGCAGCCGGAGTGTGCCCTCAGCCAGTAGCAGGTTCTCGTGGGCATCCAGCACCAGGGCGAAGCCTAATGAGAGCACGCCCAGCCATACCACTGTCCGAGGCTCCTGGAAAGGGTCCCCTGCTGCCAGGCGGAAGGCCCCAAGGGGGGCCTCATGCAGGGGCACTGGCTCATCCGAGGACTGAGGCTGCAGGTCCATGGGGGTCCGGCCAGATGCCTGCTGCTGCAGCCGGCACATGGATTCCACCTGCCTGGGGAGAGTGGGTGGGTCACTGACTTCTGTCATCCTCATGACCACCCTTAGAACTGCTATTAACTCCATTATCTCAGATGTAGAAACTGAGCCCCAGAGAGACTATAAGACCACAGAGCAGAAGCATGAGCCATGAAAGGAACTCAGGCTCCTGCCTCCAGGCAGTGAACCGTTTCACTCCATGTGTTCATGAGAAGGCAGGTTTTGAACACAGCCCCTTGGGCCAGGGAAGGGCACCAGGGGAAAAAGACCCTGCCCCCACCAGCTTCACAGAGGCCTCCCTAACATAAAGAAAAGTGAGCCATGAGAAGTAAAAGCCATGTTCAGCTGGGCTGTCCAACCTCTCCACCCCCCATCCCACCCTGCAACCCTCTCCAAACAAAAAAGACTTTCCACTTGGCCATTTAGGCTTTTGAAATCACACTCCGATCCCTCCTGAATCATCTTCTAATTTGGGCTGTGCACAGACTGGTTTTAAAGGCCTTTGGTTTTCTGTGCCACAGGAGGGGGGTGGAGACCCAGAGGAAAAAAGGGACGGCAAAAGACTAGCCCAGGGCTGCCCCAGAATGTTAATCCCCTGCCCCCCATCCCCCTCAGCCACAGAATGCAGGGAGGCAAAGAGATGCTGGAACTTGCTGGCTCCATCTGGGTCTGGGATGGGAAGGTCCAAGGCCGGCCACCACATCTGAAACAGTGTTTCCCAAATTGTTCTCTGTGGATCCCAGGCCTTCAGGAGGCTCTGGGCTCAGAGCTCCCATGTACCACATTCTCTCTCCTCCTTAGGGATTCATAAAACCTACACATATACTAACAGCCCTGAGAAGTCCTGCACTGCAAAGCATGTTTAATCTGTTCCAAGGTTTGCCTACCTACACTCAAATCCCAGCTCTGCCATGTTCTGGCTGCAAAACCTTGGGCAGGTTAAGTTCCTGTGCCTGTACCTCAGTTTATTTATCTGTAAGGTGGGAATAATAACTGTATCTATCTCAATAGACTGTTAAAAGAATTAATGAGTTCATATACATGAAATGCTCAGGACACTTAGCACACAATTATAAGCTCAATTAATGCTAGCTATAATTGTAATGATGATAATAGCATTATTATTTCTTTAACCCCTTTTCACATAGTTCTGAACAACTGCGGATGATTGTGGAAACACTACTCAAACTTTTTGTTTTTTAAGTCTAATTCTCTGTACCCTCCCCCCCCCCTCCAGAAAACCTATCACAATCAGACATGTGTTCAACGAAAGCCTGTGTTACCTGGCCACAGCCAAAATCTGCTCCTTTCGGAGGAGCCTGTCCCGCTCAGCACCATGTGGTCGTGGGTCATCGGGTGAATTCTCAGCACCAAAGACACAGGAGTAGAGCACTCGGCAAAGGCCCGTGTCCTGGGCCTGTGGAGCCCGCAAGGTGTGGATGAGGAAAGCGTGGACCATTGCTCCAGGTGGGCACTACAGGGAAGCCAGAGACCTCGGTGAGATGAGTGTGAAAGCCCGGCAGGCAGGCAACCACAAAACCTGGGAGCATGACCGAAGGCTGCTGTGGTTGGTCACTGGTCTCCTTCCGCCACCCAAGACGCACTCCCTGCCTCTGAATAATGGCGTCTGGTCACCAGCACTTCTGTCCACAACAGAGTCAAAGGGTGAAGATATCTCAGGGAACCGGTTCTACAAAACAAATGGCCAGGAATCTTCAAAAGTGTCGAAGTCATGAGAGTCAAGGGACACCGGGGAGCTGCTCCAGACTAACTGAGACGGAGAAAGAGCAGCTGAACGCACCTGTGATGGGGTCCCCAGCCAAGAAAAAGGTAGTTTCAACATACAGCATTATTAGGACAACTGGAAACATTTTAGGTAATAGTCTTCATCAATGTTACCTGATTCTGGATGTAGGAGAATGTCCTCGTTTTTAGAAAATACACACTGGAGTACTTCTAAATACACAGATAAAGCGGCATCGTAGCTGCGGCTAACTTAATTATCAAAGGGTGTAAGGTAGCTCTTTATAAGAAAACTCCTTAAGTTTTCTACAAGTTTCAGATTACTTAAAAATAAAGTCTACTAAATAATGATACTACTACTAACAGCAGAGTCCGCCTGGCTCAGTTGCCGGCCCGGGGTGGGAAGGCAGCGGGGCACACGGGAAGCAAATATCTGGATCTGTAATTAAGGGTAAGTAGACCGTCCGTTTAAATTGGTCAAGCACGGAAGGTTCGCGAAGGCGCTTTGAGACCGGCAGCCCGCTGACCCGGGGCTGACCTCCGGTGACCCTCCAGCCTCACGAAGAGCGCGTCATCAGCCTTGGCCACCGTCTCCCCCCACCCACAAGAAATGGTAGCGTCATTTCTCACGTCACTGCCTCGCGCCACCCTGCGGCGCAGTGCATTTAGGCGGTTGTAGTTCCTTGCTCCAAACAGACCTAAGCGGAGCACCCCGCCCTGAGTGTGCTGCCCCTTCAGCCCCGGGGCCGCTTGTCCTCCTGGCGTCATACCCTTCCTTTCCTCCCCGCGGACTTCTACTAACAGAGCGCTCCACTCCGCAACAGGAGAGCAATGGCGGCTGCGCGGCTCCCCGGCGCCTGCGCACACCAGTCGCGGGCGCGCGCATGAGCTGACGCGCGCGGGGGGGCGGGTGCGAGGCCCCCACGTCGGGTGACGTCAGTTGTACTGTTCCGGGAGTGGGGGGCGGGGGTCGTGTTCTGACGCCTGGACCCGCGGCTCGGGCGGCTTTCGCCCTCCGACCAAAGACCCCTTGCTTCGAGCTCCCAGCGGGGCCCACGCGGGCTATTCCCAGACGGGGTGTTAGGGATCCCGCTGGGAGGCCTGGACCAGCCTCGCCCCAGGCCACCGCCCCCGGCCACCGCGAGGGGGCGCAGCGGCCCGGCGTGTGAACCTTCCGGAAAAGGCCGGGGGGGCCGAGGCTCCTGAGGCCTAAAAGTGCAGGGCTGGTTCTCGAACTGGTCAGTATGCGTGGGAGTCACCGGGGTGCCTGTTAAAATGCAGATGCCTGGGCTTTATTTGTGGAAATTGCGACTTTAGGAGAAAGATGTTGGTGGGGGAGGGTTTGGGGTTGTGGATCCCCGCAGCGGGTTAAGACCAGGCTTCGTTTTGGAGTAGAACGATTAAAATTTGAACCCACCCTGTCACCAGCCATGTGTCCCTGGCAGGTGAGTCACTTCGTTGGGCCCAGTGAAGCCCCGTAGGGTTTAGCAGGCTGACCAGTTTTTCCTTTCATATTCCCGCTTCTGACAAGGTGACCCCTCTTTGAGGGAGGCCATCAAAAGTATAGTGAAGAGACCTACTTAAGACTGAAAGGGGCACTGCCAGGCACCAGCCTCCAGAGCCAAGCGGTGGGATAATAGCCCCAATTAGAGGCTCAGCCCAGAGGTGTTTGGGGCCCTGCAAGATCTGTCCTGAGCCTCACAGCCTACATTCTCTTTTACCTCTTGACATGTGAACGGCTCAAGATTCCCAGTGTTCTGTGCCTCAGAGCCTCCACACTGGCTCTTCCCTCAGCCTGGAATGCCCTTTCCTACCCTTCTTTTGCCCTTCAAAATGTGCTCAGATCAGGGCGCCTGGGTGGCTCAGTCGTTAAGCGTCTGCCTTCAGCTCGGGTCATGATCCCAGGGTCCTGGGATCGAGTCCCACACCAGGCTCCCTGCTTGGCGGGAGCCCTGCTTCTCTCTCTCCCACTCCCCTGCTTGTGTTCCTGCTCTCGCTATCTCTCTCTCTGTCAAATAAATAAAATCTTTAAAAAAAAAAAAATGTGCTCAGATCAAAACTTAGGGGAAACCTTGCCTGGACTGCCCATTAGCATTCAGTTGCCTCCTTTGCACCCATTGTTGAGGGTCTGCCTGTGGTGGTGATGTTTTCCATGGAGCATACCCAGGCTATGGTACTCATCCTCCTTCCCCAGGGCCATGCACACTTCTTGGTGACTGAAGAAATGAAGGGCAGGGCAGCCCAGGCAGGGACCCTGGAGCCAGGACCCTTCCAAGGGCAGGGCATGTATTCCGGACCCCTCTAGCCATAGGACGTGGGCAGGGGGACACTGAAGGAAGGCTAGAGGAGGTGGCCAGGGGGCAGACCAGGGCATGTGGGCATTTTGACCACAGGTATGACACAAATATATTTGTAGGTGGAGGGGCAAGCCCAGGGATGGTGTGGGGATTCAGTCACAAGGCTGGGGGTCATGTCATGTTGGCTCAGTTCCTGGTTCCCGGTCCCTATCACTCTCAGCCAGAACCCGTGTCTGCTAGCTGATTACAGCAGAGAGCTGGCAGAGGGCTCTGGTTGCTTGGGGCCACCTGGCATCTGGAACACAGTATTCTAGCCTCTGTCCACTCCTTGGGCAGTGAATCCACTCCAAGTCCCAGGCCACTGAGGGGCTGGCTGGCCTTGTATGAGGTATGTGAAGGAGACAGCAGTGAGAAGCTAGCCTGAGCCACTACCGTGGAGGGCTGTGGAAGACCCAGATGGAGGTGGTGTCCTGATAAATAGCAGAGTCAGGTGCCATTCCTGACTTTTTGCAGCCCTCAGCCAACCTGTGCCTTCCAAGTCAAAAGCTCTGTGCTGAGGACAGCAAGGCAGGAAGGAACCTGGGTCCCCCAAGATGCTGCAGAGCCTTCTTGCTGAGGGAAGAGCACACATGTTGACTTTGCTAAACAGCTGGGTGGGGTTGCTGTTACATACTAATTCATTCCTAAGTGAGGCAGCATGTGAAGAGGTCAGGATGTTGCCTGGCATACGGTAGGCACTCGGTAAATCAATAAATGTTGACAACCATTAATACAGAGGCAGGAGAGGAAAAGGTGTCAGAGAGGTGTTGGTCAGCTCTGGAAAGCAAGTGGGGCCTTCTGGTCTGATGGGAGTCCTGGTGCTTCTTGGAGTTATCAGACCTGCCCTGAAGACAAAATGGAATGGTCTGAGTGGGATGGAGGTAGCAGGTGTCGCATGTTCTTGTGTGAGGCTTTCATAGTGGTTACCCTATAGATTGCAGCTGGCCAGGCATACAGTAGGTACAGATATGGGTTTGTGGGATATGGACAGAGAGAGAGAGGTGGAAGAAAAGTAAAATTAAAGCACTACAAAAAAAAATTAGAGGAGCTTCAAGGAAGCAAGTAGCTGGATATAAGGCCTGGCCCACCTGTCTAGAAGTGGCTGGGGACCACACCTTCCTGTCATTTCCCCTCCCCTCCCTCTGGCTGTGGACAGAGGTGCCCATCACCCCACTCTCCATCCGTGCTCTTCTCAGTGGTCCTCTGAATTGGGGTGGGGGGCTGGTATGCCTACAGCCTCTTGCATTGGCCCCTTCCCCAGACTCCCACCCTCCACAGCTGTCTGCCCACGTCAGGACGAGACCTACCCCACAGTGCCCCTTTTCCAGTAGCCCTTGGTGCCCACCAGTGCAATGTGTGCACAGTGACTGACACTGATTGAATGTAGAAAGCAGGTTCCATTCCCCAACTACCCAAGCCACAGCGGTGTCCTGAATCGCTGGTGGGCAGTCTGGCTTGGGCAGTTCTGCTGCTTCTCCTGGACATCAGGACCAACCCCCAGGTCCTGCTTACACACCTCCAAGGACAGGGAGCTCACTCCTTGGAGACAGCCCCATTGGTTTTTGACAGCTGGAAACCCTTACTGATGATCTTTACAGACCTTGAGTCCTCAGGCCAGACTAGTCGAGCAACCACCTACTTCTGGATGTGGGGAGGGCAGTTGGGTGGAATCTGTCAGCCCCAGGCAGTGGATTTTTTGAATGACTCCCTGATTAGGATGTCTAGTCATTTCTTAAAGAGTAGAGCAGTAAACTAAGAAGAAAGGATCTGCTTTTTTGAGAATCCCGGCAGGCTAAGATTAGGTTGCCCTAGAATAAAGGGGACCAAAGTCAGACAAGCCTTGACCTTTCGTCCCCCTCCTCCTCCCTAGGCCACCTCAGAGATGGCATTGCCCTGTGTGTGCGGCCCCCCACTGGCCACACAGATGGCTTCCTCCTCTGTCTCCACCACATCCCCTTCCACAGCTTCCTAACTGCTACCCGGACTGGTGCAGTAGGCCACCAGCCTACACACAACAGCCGGGCTTTTCTCCTGCAACCCATCACCCAGGGGCTTGCCCATGTGCAGAAAGGGAGGAAACCCTCAGCCTGGACCCCTCTCTTTTAATTGTCTTCAGGCTCTTCCTTTTTACTTGTCTGATCTTGTAATCCTCACACTGGCCCTAAGTCATAACAGCTCTAGCAGACTCTTGTATGGCACTTGCTGTAGACAGGCTCTGTCCTGAGTGCTTTACATACAGGAACTCTTTTGATCCAAACCGCAAGGGGCTTTGAAGGAGGGGCTTTACAATCCCCATTTTACAGATGTGGAAATTGAGGCACAGGGAGATCAAGTAACTTTCCTGATGTTACACATGTGCTAAGGGAGGTGTGCATGTCAATAAATTTCAGCCTGCTTCCTCCCTTCCCCTGGTGTGTCCCCTTCTCCCCTGTCCCCTCACAGTCACCCCAGGGGCTGGCTCAGGCCCTGCTCCCAGCTCCAGAAGGCCATAAGCCTCTTCCGACCGCAGCCCTTCTTACCTCATACAACCCAACGCTGGGAGCTCCATCCCACCCTCAGGGAGCCCTGGGCCCCATGGAAGCAGTCTTGGCTGGGCTCCAGGAGGATGAGGGCATGTGTGATTCGTCCTTTCAAACAGCCACGCTTCCCGCAGGGCTGACAGCCAGGAGGCCCCACGAGGCGGCTCAAGCCCAGCCACGTGAGGCTCCCTCCCCTCCTGCTGCCCCAGGCCCTGCTGACTCAGAGCCTTGCAGCCACCCCCTCCCAGGGACATGTGGGGGTGCAGGCTAGGTGGGGCAGGGGCAGCCCCTGGCACCCCACAAATCCCTGTGTGGGTTGGGTGGGAATGCTTCTTACCTTCTGTCCCATAACCAGCTGATTTCTCTGAACAGTGGGCTGTGAACAAGTCCACATCCTGCAGTGTTCTCTCAAGGCATGACTCCTGGCCGTGGACCAGCAACTTCTCCATCATTACTCAACTTCCCTCTCCTGATTGTTTCCAGATTCCACAAGGCCGTGGACCTCCCTGTCTAAACAGCCCTCCTTTCTGCACCAACAGTTTTCTTGCTTCTGGAAAGTGGGTGCCTCTGTGTTCAATTCCAAGGATGAAGACTGTTTAGAAATCCCAAGTTTTCTAGAAGGCTGTGAGCTGTTGTCAGTGGATGGACTCAAGCCAATGACATCCAGCCAATTAACTCCCAAAGAGTCACTTTAACTTTTTAAAGAATCTGACTTGAAAAACTGAAGACTAAGATTTCCATATAGGAGAGTCAGAAAACAAGCTGGATTTATAATGCTTGAACCCTTGCCTTTGCCACCCCATAGCGTGTAGGTTCTGAAGAGAGCTCTTTGCTACATACAACAATCAGATTTTCTGGCTAAGAGAGAGAAATTAAAACTTGCCAATTTTGCTGAGCATATGGAGCAACCTGAGCTCTCAGACTCTGCTGGTGGGAAGGTAACATTATAGCAACCACGGGGAAAACGCTAAAGCTGAGGGAACACACCGCGACCCAGCAGTTCCACTCCTGGGTATATTCCTAGTACCCTTTGAAATCATCCCAAGTAATCTGTCGAGGGCAGAATGAAAATGCTCTATATCCTGATTGTGGTGGTGGTTACACAACTGCATGCATTTGTTAAAACTCACAGAACAGAACCGTACACTCAAATCGGTGAATTTGCATATAAATTATATCTTAATTTTTTTTAATGTGAAAACCAGAAGAAAAGAAATGTAGAATGTATAATCCAATTTAGGAGTATATCTGTATGATGGAATATTATACAGAAATGAACAGGAACAAACCCCCTGCAGAAGGAAACATAAATGAATCTCAAAATGATGCTGAAAGAAGCCAGACATAATGGACACCTGGGTGGCTCAGTCGGTTAAGTGGCTGCCTTCGGCTCAGGTCATGATCCCAGGGTCCTGGGATCGAGGCCCACATTGGACTCCTTGCTCAGCAGGGAGCCTGCTTCTCCCTCTCCCACTCCCCCTGCTTGTGTGCTCTCTCTCTAATAAATAAATAAAATGTTAAACAAAAAGGAAGAAGCCAGACATAAGAGTATGAACTGTATGATTTCTTGTGGACGAAGCTCAAGAACAGGAGAAACGACACCGTGATAGAGGTCAGAATAGTGGGGAGCCTTGGAACGCAGGCAATGGGGAGGGAGCATGAGAGACCTCCATGGGATTCTAGAAAGGTCCTGTATCTTGAGCTGTGTGGTGGTTCCTTGGGTCTGTGCTCTATGCTTAAGATGTGTGCCCTTGACGGAATGATTACTCTTCAATTTAAAAACAATTTTTTAGGGATACCTGGGTGGCTCAGTCAGTTAAGCGGCTGCCTTTGGCTCAGGTCCTGGAATCGAGTGCTGCATCAGGATCTTTGCTGGGGGTGGGGAGAGCTCCCTCTGCCTCTGTCCCTCCCCCTGCTTGTGCTCGCTCTATTTCTGACAAATAAAATCTTAAAAATAATCTGTTTTTTTTTAAATTGTTATTACAAGTGACCCAGTGAGCAATTCAGATGATGTCCAGACCCCACCGGTGCCCACTGACTTGGCCAGCTCCCCGCCTGCGCCTGGCTCCATGAAGCTCTTTAACATGTAAGCAAGCTGCACACGGCTGCTCCTGGGCTGGAATTCCTGCCCCACCCTGGCCCCAGCAAAACAACCTTTAAAACTGGCCAGCAGCCCAGGTTTTTAAACCGCTTCCTCGCCTGATCTGCTCCCCTTTATGAGCATCCAGGAAGAAAGTTACAGCTTCTCTTGCTGGGGGCGAGGAGGAATTGGAACACCTCTGCCCCATCCCCTGAACTTCCCAGGAGTAGATGGGGTCCTGGCCTGAGTTGGAGGGGCAAACCTCTGGCATTCCCTTGGACCTTCTATGGGGGAAAGTTTTGTTTCCTGGCTGAACAAGGCCCTCTCCCTGCCCCCTCCTCATCTTCCCCTACAAAATGAGCTATCTACCTACCTGGTAAGCTTAGGAGACAATATGTATAGTAAGTGTCTGGAACAGTCTAAATGCCCCATGACCACAGCTATGATTCTGATGGTGGGTATGATGGGGACAGATGTAGCCTCAGATGTCAGCACCTGGCACACAGCCTGGGCATTGTTAGACACTCAGCACCCATTGCTCCCTCCTCCCCATGTGGCCTGATCCTGACCCATGGCGTGGAAATTGGACACCCAGAGCAGAAACCAGGCAGCCTAACCCCACCCCCTTGGCTGGGACCAAGGCAGCAGGTGAGGAGTGGGATAATCCCAGGCAGCTGCAATGCTTGCTCTGCTTGTATCTGCTGTGTGACTTGGGGGCAAGTATATGCCATCTCTGAGCATCCCGCAGCCTTCCTCCTCTGTTGTATGATCAGGAAGGTGGGGGGGCTGCTTCCCGAGACCATGTAAGCAGAGTGGAGCTGGCAAATCTCAGCTGGGGACTGCCCAGGGCTCTCTCTCTCTCCCTGTTTCTCCCTGTTCCTCAGGGGTCTACACAGATATTTTTCCTTTTCTGGGGCAAGTCCCCTTACCCAAATAAATGTTGTCCATGGTATCACCTGCCTGCTCAATGGAGAGGGTTTCTGAGGTTTCAGAGCCCCTCCCCCCCTGAGCAAAGGCCTAGCACCTTCAGACCATCAAAGTCACACCCCAACAGCCCCCACCCATTGTGCCCTTGTGGGAGGGGGTGTGTTGGCAGGGGAAGCCCCAGCCTTTGGGCATAAGAATCTTGGGGGAGGGCGCCTGGGTGGCACAGTTGGTTGGGCGACTGCCTTCGGCTCAGGTCATGATCCTGGAGTCCCGGGATCGAGTCCCGCATCGGGCTCCCTGCTCAGCAGGGAGTCTG